GGTGTTTCCAAACAGAACCTAAAAAGTGCCTGTGATGTCCCAAATAAAACTTTCCTGCTTGTACTTTAAGAGAGGGACCTGTCTTGTACAGGCTTCTCTATCATAAAATAGGTGTCCTCAGGCCGTCCTTTTGCTAATGAGAAGCTCCCTGGCCTTAATCCCCTGGAGTCCTTGATCTTTTCCCTATCCCATTTTAATACAGGTTCTCTCTCTCTCCAAAAAAATATAAAAATAAAGCAAAAATCCAAACTCCTATGCATATTGCTTAATTTTCCTGCTTAGGCAAGCAGCAGCCCCTCTCCCTTATAAATTACCTGCTCTCTGCTCTTTCAGGCTACGCTGCGGGCAGCAGGGACGTACCCTGGCATCCCCTGGGAACAGTTATTGCTGTTATTGCTGTACCCCGTCCTTTTGGCCCATAAATGCCGCTCAGAATAGAGCCATGGGCTCTTCGGATACACAAACGAAATTCCTCTCTTTGATCCCTTGGGCAACATCTGCAAAGGTCGCCCTGGCCAGAGGGGCCGGAGTGTCACATAAGTGATTTCCTGGCTCCGCACTTGTGCTGAAGGACATAGTGGCCAGGGAATATTCAGTGCCTTATTTATAATGTGTTGCTAAAACTCCTGACCCAATGGCAAAGCCTAAGTAGCTTTAATGTCGAGATACCCAATAATTCAGGTATTTTCATCATCACCTGGGGTTAATGCCATGTGTGATAAATACTCAGGGCCTGCTCAGTAGGAAGAAAATTAGTGACAATTTCCAGTAGCTTTCTTCCATTTACCTGCTAACCATAATTTATTAATTCCTGCCCTTTAAAGAGGGGCAGGAATTTCCCCTTTTTCTTTTAAAGGGAAGGCTTACATATAATTTCTGGTGTATAATTAAGTCACAGCACTGATTATGTATATCAATTCTTTACTTCTATATACATGTTATATATCTGTATATACACACATACATATATACACATACTGTATTAAGAATTCCTTATAATATATGGTTAGATGTAAGGCAATAAATAGATCAACATTTCTCGTTTTATTATATATAGCTATGAGTTGTGAACATGTCAGAGACAACACGTCACAACAGAACTCTGTCACGACAAAAGAGATTGAGGGACATTATGTTGCCTGCGCATGATATCCAAAAAGTCTCTCACAAAGATAAGCATTTATTAAAGAAGCCATGTTGATTAATAAACTTGTTCCTTAACACATAACAAGCAAAGATATATGATATATTACCCAAATAAACTGATATTTAAGAAGTACTTAAGGGCTTAAGTGGCAGGATGCTCTCCAAGAAGCCTGGCAGGAGATCTTTCAGTGTCCAGGTAACTGCTAGTAAAAGTGTGGGGATCCTCTGACTGCTACAGATTTGAACAAAAGAGTTCATTAATGGACTTTTATGTTTATTTTTTTATATTTTATGTTTTATATTTTTTAAAAAAGGCCCTATTATAAAGAATGCAAAATTTCCGATTAGACTCTACAGCATCGCTATTAACACACAATTTGCAAAAATGGGCTAAGAGTTTACAAAGCTGATCAGAACAGGGTTAGCAGAGCTTAAAAGCTTTGCAGTCTTTGTACATTTCTGATGACTGCAATAAATTATGGCCATTTTTGTGAAGCATCTGGGCTGTTTACAGGACAGAAAACTGGGCTGATATCTCAACAGTGAAGTAGTTGAGCTTGTTTTCTCTTTGTTTACAGTTTGGAATTACTTTTGGTGACATTTTTATAAGTTACTTAAAGATTTTTTATATATTCATGAGCTTCGATTCATGTATACCTATACTGTATATTCTAAGAACTTTTCTATTAAGAATCCCTAAGTCTCTGCTTGTTTCCAAGCAGCCTCTTTGGAAAATAAATCTAGTATCTTTGATTAAGACTTGGATTAGTTAAAATTTGTGGGGTTTTTGCACTTCTCAATGTGTAAAAATATCCTGATTCAGCAAATTAGTATTTTATATACCTAAGGTGTGATATACACTTAAGTCTTCATTTAAATTGTTATGAAATGACTTACATTGGATTCACTTGTCTAATGTCTGAATCTTCTTAGCATGTTTGAATATGAGGTTAATTTTTTTTTTCTTTTATTTCTTTTTTGGGGCTTTGTCTGAAAACAAATCAATGTTCATGAGGTGCTTAGAGACAATTTTATTTTAAGCAATCCCCTTTCAGTAAGTATCTGAGAAGCTCGTCTACTTGCTGAACTAAAATTACAGACCTTATGCTGTTGTATCTGTGCCTCTGCACAGTTATTTAAATTTGGAACTATTTTGCCATTATTAAAAAAAAAAAAAAGGCGGTTTACCAATGCCTAAATGTTTCCTCTCCCAGACACCTTTTTTTCTCCCCAAATTTGAAATATTTGAACCCTGAGTTAGAAATAATTCCCATGTTGCCCTTTTCTTGGTTCTGCAATAAGTTTCAGTCTATCTTTAAGCAGATTTTCACCTTCTAAAGCATTGGATTTCTATAGTAGAACAGTAGAGCTTGAATTAAACCTAAATTAAATTTCTTGCCTTCAAAAAGTTCAATTTAAGTCTTACCAATAGCTGATATACTTTTGACACCTTCCACTTCTGTTCTTCAGGCTACAGGTAGGAAGACCAGATTCTCTGAAATGCGGAGGTATGGAAAGGGAGTAACGTAATTTTAGACAAGCAGGAAATATGACTAACACATCAGAGAAATAATACAGTTCTGATGTGGTGCTAGCTCAATTCATTAAGCTTGAACCCTTTTGAGCATTGGCAATTCAGCTGTTACGTATTCAAGAAGGCAATTTTAACTGTAAGAATTAGAGCAAGCTTTTGGATTATAATTGTAATTGGGACGATTTTGTAAAATTCATTAGCGAGATGATCTCATTTATACAAATGCAAAACGTATCACTCATAAAGTTCTGCCAGGTTTCCGTTGACCCAGGTGCTCATAATGTGTTAATTTACATCAGAGAAGCAGCACCGTGTGGAAATTGGGCAGCAGATAGGATTTAGTTATTTTTCATTAGCACTTGGACTTTGATAAAGGGGAACAGAAAAGAGCTGCTTGACCTTTCAGTGCTTAAATTATTAAAGAGCAAATAGATTTGAGGTCTGGATGCTTGCAAATCTAATTTGTCTTGTGGAGTAAGGATGAAAAGACATTTTGAGTTTGAAATTGCTCCAGTCAACTTAGCTCTTTCTTTAATGTATCTGAAGATGAATAGATAGCAGGCATTTAAAATGTAATATACATGGAGTAGCGCATGTACTATAACTGATAGGAATCTGAGAGGAGAGGAGCATTTTAACGACAGATTTGTTTTAAAATATCTGCAAATTTTAGCTGTAATCACTGCGGGAAAAATGAAAAGCAGGCCTGTTTCAGCCACTATGGAAACAGATAAGATTTCTTAACCTGGTCCAGTGTCCTTCCTGATTTAGGAGCCATTCGTGGTTCATTCCTGATGCAGTAGCAAGCTAACACAGCCAGATCCAAAGCTTCCCATGCCACCCATCATCCTGCAGGGAAACACGGCCTTGTTCTGTTTGCCGTGTGGTTAGGCCCAGTTCACTACTGCGCAGAAATCGAAGCTTCCAGCACTTCTTACTCCTTTTCCCAGTACCCCATTTTGATTCTGAAACAGTATCAGTATTGCAGATCTGCTGTAGAAGATCAGCTGCTAGACTCATGTCAGAAATTGATTTGGACGGGAAAAAAACAAGCTGCTAATGGCAATGATTAATTTTTAGCTTAGATTCTTCGTGGCTAGTTTTTGCAGTTCAATATTTATAAGACTGGGGAAAAAAAAAGAAGTTGCAATGTATTGACCTTTATTTCCTGCTCAGCATGGAATTAATCAACAAGTGAAAATCTTTCTGTTGTACTGGTAGGCTTGCACGGAGTTGTGTTCTGACTGCGCGGGCTACACAATTATGAATTGATTGGTAACATCATCATAAAAATATGTTGAATTTTGAATGTTTCTGTCCATAGCCTTTACCTGGGTGTTGGCAAATGGGATCTCCCAGACAGAAAGAGAAGCACGTTGTAGGGGAAGGCTCTCATCCAAGCACTGTGTCAGCTAAAGGTGCAAAGCCAGGTCGAGAGCGGAAGCAGCAGAGCAGCCTGGTGATGGGCTGAGGCCACAAGGTCCCCAGCTGGTAAGAGCTGGAGAGCCCTGGGCCAGTGTTCAAAGCCGTGGAGCCCAGCAGAAGTGAACGGGGGTGCTGGACACCAGCTTGTTGCAGAATTTGCAGGTTCTTTGCTCCTGCTTGAATGTTCGTAGGACCTTCTCAGGGTAGAAGGATTGACTGTTTCCTATGGCTCCAGGTACAGCAAAGAATCCAAGTGCAAACTGAATTCCTTTGCAGAATGCAGGAACCCATGGCTGTCTCTAAGATGTGTAAAAGTGCTTTGCTGAGTGAGAATAGCAGCCATCAAAAAGTGTTTAATTCTGGCTCAGTAGCAGCCAGTATGTCACTAAAATTTTAAAAAGGGTGTAATTGACTGTGTGTGTGCTTTTATAAATAGTTATAATGTCAACAGTTAAACAAATGCTATTCCCTGTCTGTTTGTAATTTATTTATTTATTCATTTTCATCTTGCCACTTATTTCATTCAGACAAGATAAACAGATTGGAGAATGGAATCTATAGCATTATACTTACATCAGTAAACAAAATAATATTTGTTCTACATCTTCACACTAATCAGGCAAGAGTTCAGACAAGAATGTGTTCTAAGTATTTTCCATGTAAAAATCCATGGTGTTTCTGGCTATTTTTGGCTAAAACAAACATTTTAAAGCAAGTGTGAAAAATTTCGTAAAGCTGAATGTGCAAGTGGCATTTTTCACCTATGTCCTTTGCTTTTAACAGTCATCTTATTTTTTTATACATTTTCTTTTTCCGTAAATATTAGTGTGCTGTTAGGGTCTGAGTCTTAAAATAACCCTTCTTTTCTGCCATTTTCTCCTTTCTAAACTCTTAGTGTCTATCAAATCGTTGTTGAGGAAGAGCGCCCGCGGAGGACCAAGAAGACGACCGAAATCCTGAAGTGCTACCCCGTGCCCATTCATTTCCAGAACGCCTCCCTCCTGAATTCCCAGTACTACTTTGCTGCAGAGTTTCCAGCCAACGGCCTGCACGCTGCTCAGCCTTTCACCATCGGTGACAACAAAACTTACAGTGGCTTCTGGAACACACCGCTTCTGCCTCATAAAAGCTACAGCATCTATTTTCAAGCCGCAAGCAGAGCCAATGGGGTAAGTCTTATGACAGGTGTGGGTTGATATGGTGTTTAGTGGGAAAAAAGGGTGATTGGCAGCAAGTAGTGAGATGCCCAATTTAGTTGCTAATGAGAAAATAAAGTAACCATGAAATTTAACACGCTGAGTTTGAAAAATAACAGTTTTCCTAACACAGTATCACTTAATGATTAAAGGTTACAAGAAGGAGGAGGAGAAAACACCACATTTTCTCAACAGACAGTAGGCAAAGTAGCACATTACCGTTCCGCCTTATTGTTGTCTCAAAGCTGTCCAGCGAGTCTGTGTGCTCAGACTTTTTTCTTTCTTTCTTTTTGTTTTTGTTTTTGTTTTGTTTTGTTTTTGCTTTAAAGAGGAAAGTGTTATGGTTCTTTTCATTAAGTGTAAGCCAAACTTGATATTGGATTTCAGCACATCTGTCTCGGTCTGTCCAATCCCATTACCTTAGTTTATAACAGTTTGACCTCCCGTTTCCTCGTTTGCTTGTCTTGAGTGAATTAGAGCCCAACTATTTCCCCCCATTTTGCACACAGTGAAAGAAAAATAAGTAGATGGAACTGAAATAAAAAGTATGTAAAAAGGCCTTTGCAGATCATCTTTCAACGGGCTAATTCTTCCTGGAATTGTTTTTCATTTCCTGGACAGACCTACCCAGAGCCCTTCAGTTCTTGATAAGCCTTGGCTGTGTGCACTGACAGCCTGGAAATGTTTTCTGCCAGATCCCATAATGATCCCTTTGCACAGTGCACTAACAGAAGAGCAATGTGAAACACCATTGATTATTTTTCTTTCCTAAATTGTCTAGAGTGATGCTTACAACTATACTTATCTGTAAGAAAAAGAAAAATCTCTCAAGGTCATTAAGTTGCCAAAGGAAAAGCACTGAATACTTGCCTGTGTTCTTGTGAATATCTTTCACATATTTCTACTTTTGAAGTAATGTTAAGAGAGATGTTTATATTAGATACCCAAGCAGATTAGATTTTGTTTGCCCAAACTATGAAACGACATTGGAATTCCTTAGGAAGTGGTTAAATATGTAATGAGGCACATTAACACTTTCATCGCATTTTATCAATACTTTTAAGAATAGAATCATAGATGACTTCCTGTGCTTAGAAACACAAAATGTGACCTTTTTCCTCTTTATTTAACACAGGAAACCAAAATTGACTGCGTCAGGGTAGCCACAAAAGGTATGTTCATATTGTGTCGTGTGTTCTGCTTTTCAGGCTGTTGACCTTTCCGTCACGTGGTCCTTATAAATTTCCAGAAATATTTATATTACTAAAAGGCATCACTAACCCTGTTACAGATTCATTCACATCTCTAGCTGAGATTTAGGAAGTTTTTTTGCTTGTTTGTTTGTTTATTTTCAATAATAAAAATATTATTCACTATTAGTTGTCTACTTGAACACATTTTCAATATGCTCTGTGGGTTTTTATATGATCTCACATGAAATATTTTGGACATTGTTATGTACAGTAGAATTACAAAATTGCCAATTGCATACTGGCTTCCCATACATCAGTAATGAAAAATTACACTTATTCATAAGCAATTATCTTAATTGCTTTATAAAAGAAAAGTGGTGGAATCAAGCTCTTCATTTTCATGGTATAGATCAGCTCTATTTATTAGAAAATCTCACCCACTTGTGAGACAAGTTTGTATAACTGAGACAGCACAAGTTACAGGCCTGATCCCTAAACAGGAGAGACAAAGCGAAATGCTGATATATTTTATTTTCAAGGCAAGGAATTGTCTGTTATTGTCTTGGTAGTGTCAGCTTTTTGGTATCTATAGCTGGTGATAAATATCAAGGCCTAGAAAAGAAACGATGGGAGAGCATGATTATTTGGAGATTGTAGCAGAGGAAAATGAAGGGAAAACCAGCCATGAATAGAAATAGTTAGTTCTGCCTTCCATTTTGGGCACCTGGTAAGAGTATGAAACAAAAATTTCTTCAGCCCTGTACTACTGTTGCTTTTGGAAGATGAGGCATATCTCAAAGTAAGTGCCTGTCTGTAACATAACAGATCCCCTCATTGACCCCTGCTACGTAGACTTCTCAATTCAGCCACCACCCCCATATTTAGATAAGATAGATGGAAATCTCATTTATTAGAAGTAACTGAAATGGCAGCATATAGTTGTCTGTGTTGAAAGTCTGTCCATCTCTTGTAGGACAAATACATTTCTATGGCTATTTGGTTTGTTTTATGTATTTTTCAACAATGAAGGAAATAATACACTTTTATTTCTGAAATACTAAGTTACTGCTTACTGGAGCAAACTTTCAATGTCTTCACTGAAAAACAAAGCAGTGCAGAAGAGACTGATTTCAAATAAAAATTAAATATTAATAAACAATAAAAATTGTTTTCTGGGAGCACCAGTGATGCCAGCAGTGGATTACATCCCCTCAGAAATCATCCTAGGTGATTAGAGTCGTGATTAGATTTATGAGAATGTTTTACATTATTTGCAGATTTGGAGATTTAACCACTAGTAGATGTTCAACCATTTCAATTACTTGGCTGACCGAAAAATCTTACTGTATCTCATGTGCCAAGTGAGGTAACTTTATGGATCGGAATAGCTTCCATAGCAACAAGGTACCTTCAGGAGATCTGCTTGGTGAAGGAGATGTGAGAAATGCAGTTCTTATCTGAAACAAATCTCCATACCTTTCTGTTTCAAAAGCACATTTCAGACTTCATCATCTCTTTGTGAAGCCTGTGCAATGATGTGAAGGGTAGCTGTGAGAGCTTTGAAACAAGAGGTGGTTCAGAGGACAATTAGTCCTTGAGACCAGGCTTTCTTGAGGGGCTTCTTTGAAGCATGTATTACTATGCTTATAAACTTAATAACTCTATTCCATTTTTAAGCTACATTTTTTTTCAAATAAAATGAACACATTTTAATAATAGAACATCAATCACACCTATCTGTACAGATTTTTTTTTTCCTTTAGAACTAACAGAGATGTTTAAAAGAGACTTCTCATCCAAGGGCTAGAAAAAATAGCAAACACGTCTCACGCCTATAGGTCCCAGGATGCTCCAGCTGCAGTTGGGAGAGGCAGGATTGCTCCGTCCCGCTCACTCCATTGCAGCCGTCTGCCGTGGCAGGTAAACAGGGCAGAACAGACTTAGCCCTGGCACCATCAGCACGTTAAATAGCTAATACAGGAGTGCATTGCCTGTATCCCGGGGCACGATCCCTCCGCTCTTAGCAATAAGCCCCGGTTTCCAGCGGGTTTCGTGACGACCGCGCAGGCACGAGGCAGGCAGCTCCGTAAGCTGCGCCGTGTGCCCGCCGTGCTGATCCGTGCATCGTGGTGCTTTGCACGCAGAGGGTTGCAAACACTCCCCGTTGCAACATGCAGTTTTTGTGTGCAGATAAAATTTCTGATATGTTTGTATACTGGCCTTAGTTATCCTTGATAATTCAGGTTTAGGTTTTTTAAAGCTAAGGGGAAGCCTCGCTTTAGAATGGCTTTAGGCTATTCATCCCATCTAAAGCAGGCCCTTTTAAAATAAGACCTGATCCTGAGAATAATTATATGCTCGAGTAGGCCACCAGAGTTGGCAGAGATACTCTAAACTGTAACACAGTGTGTGGAAAACCACGTGCTTTAAGAACCTCATCCATGCCATTGTGTACCTAATTGTGAGCACCTACTGACAGGCTTCTTGTTAGAAAAGCACAGCCTGCCTCTAGTGGGTCAAAGGCATGTGTAGGGTCTGTAGCAGGATGCTATTTAATAATTATAATTTGTATATATATAATACCATCCGGTAAATCCTTAATTTGAAAACATTTTTAAAATGCTTTTGTTTTGTGACCATTACATCCGAACAAATAAAACCTCTATCACATATGGCTTTTTAGAGATCATATAAAAATCTTGGTTGCAAGGAAGGTAATTGTAATTTAGGATCAGAAACGGGGTAGTTGGTATAGCTGAAAGATCTTGTCGTGCTTCTGCAGAGGTCAAAGGGAACTTCTCCACTGACTGTGCTAGGAGAGGGATCACACACCATATTCCTATGGTGCAGAATTTTGTGATCTTAGTTTTCGGTAGAGAAAGGTTTCTAGAATCTCTGTATTCGGTACCAGTGTGGAGACTGCAGGGTTTCCAGTCCCATTCTTTGTGACAAGATAAACAAACAAACAAACAAAAAATCAAGGAGAGATTTTCATACCTCTGGTAATAAAGGTTGTTGTATTTTCTGTGAAATATGGCTTTCATATACCTACTCTTTCTTCAAGCTAAATGACTGTAAAATCTCAGCAGGCGTAGCTGAAAACATCCCCAAGTCCCTCTAAGTATATTGCTATCAACTTTGTGGTACTTTGTGATTTATATTAAGACTATATTTCCTGATATGACTTACAACACTGTCTGGATAGAGACATCTTGGCTATCTCCTAGGATCCCAGCTCTCAAGAGGGAGACATTATTGTTCTAATTTTGCAATATTGGGAAGCTTTCATTAATTATGAGAGAGAAAAGAATATTACAATATTTTAAATCCAATAGCTACGATACTCTAACAGCTACCATCAACACTGCATTTCAGTGTTGCAGAGGGATATTTCAAAATATTATGCAGCAGCAGTTTTGAGTTTAATTGTCTGCAGATGGTGGATGATCTATTTTCCTTACTCGTTGCCACATTTCTAATAGCACCCAGGCTGTTCTATGTAAATTGGTGATCTTTCATATAATCTTGTCCTTAATTTTCCAATATTTTTTCTTTACATCATTCTCCAGCTGCATCATGTTTGATCTGACCTTTTAATTTTGGTATATTCCTTAATATTTATCATAGTGCATTTAACCATTTAGAGACCAATCATAGAATTAATGACAAACAAAGAAATATGAACTTCTGTTAATGTAAGCTATGGTAAGAGTTATCTTTACCAGTCAGAGATTGTTCAACTGTGGTAGAAAAGACAGAATACCACATACCCACAGACAATTCACACTTTTTGACTTTCTTCTGAGGAGAATATGAACTTATTCAAAACTCGTACCCCAAGCAGTTATACACATGCATGACTAAAACAGTCGCTGATCATCTTTTGTATGCTGAAAGTGAAGTGTATGACGTGCAGTGTTTGTGTTTTCAAATCAAAGATCTAAATAGGTACAGCAAAAATGTATCTTAGCTAGTTCAAGAATATTCTGTATGGAGATTATATTCAAGAGAAATAAAGGAAAGTGTACTATGATGAAATAAGAAAATGAAAAGTGAAATTAGTAGGGGTTACCCAGAGAAATTAAAGCTAGAGAATATGAATAAGCAGCTAACTTTCATTTAGGAAGCACATCGAGAGCAGAGCTAAACTGTCTCCAGGTTCCTCAAATCACTATATGCAAATAATGTGCTTTGATTCCTCTTGCTGAATGAAAGTCACATAAAAAAGGTCATTAATATCACAGAATAACCAAACTAACGCCTGAAAAAGAATTTGTGGGTATTTTTTTAAATTTATTTATTTATAAGAGATTTAGACAATAAACTAATGACCAAGGTTCTTCTTGCTGGCCTAGCTTCAGTCTGGCTCTTTTTTCCCTCATGCATGCTGACCTGGAAATCTTCCTTTGCCTTAGCTGCGATAATCGTGACCCAGCTTACAACACCATACATTCGCATCGCCCCTGCTGCAGGCGACGACCAACTAACAGGTCAGATGTTCAAGTACAGACAAGTCATCATGCCCATTTTCGTCTCATTTTCCCTGGCTCCTCCTCCCTCATAGTTTCTTCATTCTCTGCTTGTAGAGTTTTCTGTCTTAAAAGTTTCTTTTTTGTTCGTAAGTTTCTCTTCAGCTCCATTAAATTAAACTATGTGCTTGGCACCCCAACTTGGGCACCCATCCACGTATGTACAACCTCGCTGCATGTCTCCATGGTGTTTGTGGTCTGTGGAATGTTCCTTCAAGCCTGATGTTGTGGCCTTGCTCCATTTGTAAATTCAGTCAGGGTTCAAACAGAGACATTTATCTGTGTACCTGTTAATTTTTTTTTCTGTGTTATTAGACCAAGGCACTAGGATATCTAGATAATTTATTTGGAGCTCTAGAGTTGCATGTGTAAGTTAGAATAAATATCTTGTACTAATGGATTTTTTTCTACTGCAGATTGTTGGGGAGATCGTATTTTCTAGCAGCATTTCAATATGCATAAAATTAAAATAAAAGTCACACTGATTCCCTTTTAATTATATGAGATATGGACTCCAGACTTAAAATAAAATTACCTAGGAAGTGACTTGAGTACTTGAACAAAATTGTAAGATTTTTAAAAATAACTATCAAAGTAAATTCACTGCACAAGTGAGACAGTGATCAGACTGAGAGTTGCTTGAAGTCAAGTTTAAAATATAGCAGAAAATCTTTATGAACTTGGGGAAATGATTCATTTTGCTAGAAAATAAACAGTTCATAAAGCTTTAAGGGATTTGAAAACTTTTTATTTTCAAATAGAAGAAAGTGCATTAAATTCTCTGGAATCTGAGGTGAGTTTGATAGAATATATAACAGGGAAAGTTAGTCAGAGTCCCACTAGCATTTAGCATGTGATAGTGTAGTTACTTGGAAAGCATCTAAATGCAGCTAGCATGGTGTCTAGGGGGCCAGGACATGCTCAGATGTTTAACATCTGCACAGTGTTGTAGTCAATAAAAGACAGTTAAATTATTCAGCTTAAGATAAAAGGATTAGTGATTTCTTTGCTATGGTGTTTTACACCGTGCTCAGTGTTGTAAAAGCAGAGCTGAGTGATACATAATGCCCACGTTACCACATCAATCAAGACTAAATTGTTGCATGTGTGTTTGTATTATGTAATAACACAAGAACTAACCAAAATAATGTATTTAGACAATGCTAGGAAGCACTAGCTTGTTCTTCTTACTGCTCTGGCAAAAAGACTCTCCCTATACATTTCTTTATCTCAATTATTTTTCACTTGAGAACACAAGTAAAAATGTTGAGGAGACCAGCAGCATCTTTTCCATATCCTTGAACTTTAACAAGTTCCGATTTCTTTATCACAGGATTCAAATAAGCTTATCTATTTTTTCCATTGGGAGAGGTAAATATTTTTCTTCTCTTTCTTTTATTTTTTTTAATGCAAAACTTGGTAGCTATAGAATCTAGGCAGTTATGCCTCCTGTGAAAAAGGGAAATGATGGTAGTTGTCACAGCGAGAGGACAGAGACACGGTGTAGTGCCAGGCAGCAGACTATTTATTTGGTTGCTTTCTCAGCCGGGGCCCATAGCATTGGGCCTCCTTAGTTGTCTGCCAGATCTGTGATTTTTATTTGCTTTTTAAAAAAACTTGGTTATAACAGAAACTAATTTGTTAATGAAAGAGACGATACCAAGTGATAATGGCAAAACAACATTCTTGGCTGTCTGGCATGTGCAATGTAGTATAAACCCTCTGAATTCCTCTCATCATTTTGATAGCCTCTTTTCATGCTCTTTTCATGCCATGTGGTCAAAAGGGAGGAAACTTTTTCCTCGGGAGCCTTGAGTACATTCATGCTCAGCTGCCACAATTACAGTAGGGAGTGAGGAAAACTTTCAGCGTGGTGGGCCCCATGACAGCCCCATGACAGTTCCCAACAGGAACTGAACATTTTTTGCAGAGCCTGTCTGCTCGGAGGCCCTCAGGCCGTCTTTCCCACCTCAGGCTACTGAGGCAAAAATGGTATCTGCTGTGTCCGTGAGGAACCCAGGGCTGGACTGCACGTGGCGGAGCAGGGAATGGTACACGTTATCCCAACATTTTTCTCCTCTGGTTACGCAGACTGTGGAAAGAATCTAAATGCCAAAGGACTCCTGTACGTGGAAGTATAGGAGTGCTGTTGCCATCTGCAGTTACTGCAAGGCTTACAGCTCTTGCTGTTAAGTAAAGCTGCAGAGAACTTTCTGTTTAATTCTATTTAATGCCTTTTCCTCTGCGCCAAAGTAATCAGATCTGAGACCAAGAAATGGCTTGTATCTTTTAGCGCTTGAGATAGATACATAATTAGAGGTGAGGAGGGCAGCACTGGGATTTTCTTATTTTCTGAAGCAAAGTTGAGGGAAATTGCTGCGTGCATAATGAAAATCTAAATCTTGGCCACATTCCTAAGTGCTTTGGAAAGGTCTTCTTTTTCCAGGAGAAGGTGATAGGATGATAGACTCAGCTTTCAAGCTACTTCTGCTCCCAGACAGTTTCCTCACCCTCATCATCAACTCAGCCTGGTCCATCTGGTACAGTTTCTAAACCATGCAGTATTAGCTTCACTTTGTCCTTCCTTCATAGAATCATAGAATGCTTAGGGTTGGAAGGGTCCTCTAGAGGACATCTAGTCCAACCCCCCTGCACACGCAGGGTCACCTAGAGCTCGTGGCACAGGACTGCATCCAAGTGGGTTTGGAAGATCTCCAGAGAAGGAGACTCCACAACCTCTCTGGGCAGCGCGGTCCAGTGCTCTGTCACCCTCACTGTTAAGAAATCTTCCTTAAGTTCCTGTGGAATTTTTGGTGCTTCAGTTTGTGGCCATTACCTCTAGTTCTGTCAGTGGCCACCACTGAAAAGAGACCAGCACCATCCTCTGCACTCCCTCCCTTGAGGGAGGGAGTTATATATACCTTATATACCTCCCTCTTCCTCGTATAAAAATGACTTCCAACTACAGGATTAGCTGCTATTCCCCTTAAATATCTTGACAGCCACTCAATATTCCTTTGGAGCCTCCAGGAAAGGGAAATTTTCCTTCCTGTAGCAGTTAAATGCATACAATGTCTTTTGGTGTATAGGATTACATGCTGTAAAGGCAACTGTGCAGTTCCTATTCTTACAAGCCAAAATAAGCAAATAAATCTTGTTAGTGAGTACATTATTATTGTTGATTCAATAACATATTAACTCAGGAACTCAGATCTGGGGGATTGTGTTTATTTTTCAGTGTTAACCTTGCAAAAGTTAACTGACTTGAAATCCACTTAATTGACCCATATTCTCCAAGAGATAGGGGTAATATCTGAGTATCTAACATACGTTAGCCAGAAGCAAGGAGTATGTATACGCGAAGCACTCCTCTGTCAGATCCTCATGAGATCATCTCCACGTTCACATAAATGCAGTTTTATTATATGGTAAACCATTAGCAAAAAAGTTATCACTTATATAACAGGAGCGACCGAATTACCTTGGCTTTGAAATAGAAGAACAAATCCAAGTTTTTGAGAAAGCATGAAAGTGTTTGCAGTTTGCTTCACTATTTTGTAAGAAACGCTTCATGTAATACTTTGAAACTGGCCATATTTGGCATTCACTTGGCCCTCGTCTATTTTGTTCCGTCTGCATTCTGATAAAATAGCCTGCTTGGAATTATGATTCGGGTGTTCATTCTTTCAGACATTTTCATAATTGTTGAAATATGTCTGAGCTACTTATATTTAAATTAAAATATTTCCATTTGTAATTTAGTGGAGCAGCCAGTCCTTTCCTAGATACTATTAAGACTGATTTCCATAAAACACCCTTTTTTACTACCCACTGTTAATTACAAATGCAGCTGGAAATGTGAGTTCTATATAGTACAGTCTCCATAAATGAAATACTTTGTACAATTCAGATATAACAGCATGTCAGAAGGAGCAGATTAGCTGCTGCTTAAGAAGTGAGAAGAATTTTCTTTTAAAGGGAGTGACAGTCTTAATTTTTAAATGACTATTCTTAAAAAAAAATCTTAAAATTTAAGAATTCTTTAAAATTTTATCCTACATACCTTCAGGTCTAGAAGAACAGCATATTTTACAATCATGCTAAAAGCAGACGTAAAAGTAATCCCAATTGGTATCTCCTCCCTTATGAAGTTATCAGCATAATAAAATAGACAGGTATCTTCAGATACAAAATTCAATCCGTAAGATTTATTACAGTCGTCTGGGTCAGATTCTGTTCTCAGACATGTAAATGTTAAAAAAAAAAAAGAAGAACTGAAGTCATTGCTTAAATTGCAGCTTCGTTTAAATTTTGTGTTATCAAGATATTTACTGTAGATTCGTGCTGCATTATTGACCATATAGTTTATTAACACAAAAAGTAGCAGCATGACCTTGAGAAGGACTGCTTTCCTATTTATCTAGCTTGCTGGATAGAACTAGATGATTTCTTTCGCAGTATTTGTGGCCTCTCCTGTACAACGTAACACATTTGTGGTGTAGCAACAAGGGCTGGACAGACTTTCAAATTCATTTTCCTCCATCCTGACTTATTGCCTTTGGTATCTTCTGACATGATGGAACTCGAAGGGCTGTTTGAGTTAACTGAGAATCGATGGTTTCCTAGTCGGACACTGCAGCGTTGTCTGTAGCAACACAGCTATGTGCATGTGTGAATGTGGGATGAACGGTGCATTTTAGGAGTTTGTTCATCTCCTAATGCTTCTGAACACAGCACCCATTTAGATCAGTAGCAGTTAAGCATAATCTTCAAGGAGAGATTGATCACCTAGATGGTGTCACGTCAAAGTGGTCCTACAGTGCCACTGCAAGGCCAAGCGACAAGGAAAGCAGAGCAAGAAGGGGTTGGACCCCGCAAAGTGAAATTCTGAGGCAGTTTTTGTGCTGTGGCACCAACATTTGTTGTGTTGGTTGTTCAAGGATTCTCATCCTGCTTGTTCA